ATCAGAGTTGGAGCAACTCCGATGCTACCAGAAGACCTCCACCAGAGTTGGAGCAACTCTGATGCAAAGCCACCAGAGTTGGAGCGTCTCTGGTACGAAGCCATCAGAGTTCGAGCAACTCTGGTCCGAAGCCACCAGAGTTCGAGCAACTCTGATCCTGGGAAAAAATAAAACGTTACAGGAAGAAACAAAAATTAGACTGTATCTTTGAATGATAGGTTTTCGGACGACATTCGTGTCCGCAGGTCGCCCGCGCACACGAGTCGCGGTTTTTCTTCTCCGTTTCGGGATTTGATCGGCACCCCCCTTGCGCGTAAGAGAGAGCCTTTACCCTTAGGAATCTTAACTCCTTAAAAGAGGCTTCCCTTTATAAGGGGGTGAAAATCCCTTGAGTCTTCCGATGTGGGATAAAACACACTAGAAACTCATCATTTTCCCAGTTTTTCCATTTCAACGAGTGAACTTCGAGAATCAATTTCTCATTCACCCGTTATCCGTTTTGAGTGTACCATATATCGAATTGTAGCCCTTAACAAGGACAATCCGAAACCACTTTAACCCGACCCAAATCGGAAGTGGACCCCACTCAAATAATTGCCCCAAAATCACCATTTAATGCCATTTTTAACACATTTTCCCAACAACACAAGACTATCGGATTCGAATAGAGACCTCGAACGGTGAGTTGAGTCCTAGATATGGGTCTTGACCCACTCTCTACTAAGCACAAATATCTACTTGAACTCTAGCTTGGAAATTTGAGACCACTATTTTTCAGTAATATTGAGGCCCATATTCAAATAGTAAACTCCAAGCTCATTATGACCATTTTATTAAAATGCATGTGTACAACTAAATGAGGACTATCATATTAGTCTCAATTATCTTTATTTGTTGACTCGGAATTCATTCTAGCCCTCTGACCATATCTGTTGGTAGATCATCTCTATTTGATGAACGAAGTTCACATCGTCTCCTCAACCATATACATCCTGATCATCTTTATTTGTTAACGTGAGTGGAGTTCACACTTCCCCCTCAGCCACCTCTCCTAATCATATTTATTTGGTAACTCGGAATTCATACTGACCCTCAGCCATATCTCTTGATCATCCTTATTTGATGACTTGTAGTTCATACTGGCCTCTCAGCCATATATCTCTTAGTCATTTTTCTTTGATGACCCAAAGTTCATATTGACCCCACAGCTATATCTCCCGATCATCTTTATCTGATGACCCGGACATCATATTATGGATGATTGCTCGACCTATTTTATAGTCATCTTTATTTGACCGGGACTCACAACATGAAGGCTACCCACTACATCCTCTCAGACATCTTTATATAGAAAAAGCATACTTCAAAGGTTTAAATAATGTGAGTATATAAAATCGCACAAACATTATGTGTGCACTCGTTTTGTATTAGTCAAATATACTGAAACACGAAACATGGTTTAAAACATAAGAAAGCTTGTTTAAAACATAGTATGAATCATGTCAAAGTAATTTGGAACTGTCATGCTAAAGTATATAGTTGTAAATCAATGATGGATTTTGCATGTTAACATCATCCAATGCATAAAATTAACATATATTTATAGAGGATATCGTGCACCAAGTTTCATGACTCGACACTCAACTTTTATTACAAAATGATGACATATCACAAACAAGACCATTAAACATGTCATGTGCATATTATTACTAAAAACTTCATCAATTCATACGAATGCAAATAAACGAAGAATTTCAAATTTAATTTTTAAACATTAAAATCAAATAACATGCAAAACCGTCATATAATAGTAGGAATTTTGAAATAGTACAACCAATAATATATACAAAAGAATTGAGTATATGCAATTGTGTTGACATCTTGCGATTTCAAAGTCACTTCTTGTATACAATATTTTCAATGGTATAACATCATTAAAAACATTTATTTTTAGGGAGTATTTATAAGAGTGAGAGTTCACATGTTAAATGATGAAACTAATTTGAAATATGATGTAAAATATTAGAAAACAATATAGGACATATAATGTAATTATGAACGCCCTTCTTACGTAAACCATATACTTTTAGATCAACTACTAAACATATATCTAAAATATTATTTCAACGTCATGAAATACATAAATAAACATTGTTAAGGTTTAGTCCCGTAGATCCGAAAGCCCAACATATTACCCAACAAATAAATACCGGGGTGAAGTCTTGGGCCCCTGAACAGTAACAGGCCGGTATAATATTACCCAACAAACATATACCTCCTTCGACTGGCAAATAAGTTTCCACTTTGACTTACATGCAGATGATTTTGTTTTGATTTTCAAATATATCCTTACTTTATTTCAAATCCAACCAAAAGCAGGCGAAAAGTAAGAGTGATTGTGACATTTTCTATTAAAAGAATCTTCTTAGATAAATGGTAACTTCATTTTGAGACACCTAAAAAGGGAAAGTGGGAACAACATTTTGGATAGATGAAGCATTTACTAAGGAAAATTCAGATAAGCGCATATGACATACATAATAAATAACAAAATATTTGATTGAGTACATGCGCTACACCTCATTTATCTAGCAGAATGATATACAAATTCATTCCCATTCATATATGAGTTAGCCCCAATCCTAGACATCCACTTATATTATATTGTTTCAAGTCATGTAAAAGGTGAGATAAAAGGATAGGCTAAAAATTGAATGATCTAAGGTTCAATGAACTTAAATAAAATAGGTTCAAGTAAGTGAATGATTGGAGATAATAAACTCTCTCCATAATAATCATCAAATTTGAATTGAAGAAGGAAAATAAAGGGCTTTATGACATCTAAGACATATCTGGAAAGCTTTGGGTTAAACCAAGAGGTAAAACGCAAAATTTAAGGAAGGATTTGAATTTTGAATCAATGACCATTGGGGAAATGGTGCATCTTATTTTATTCATTTGTAGTTATATAAGTATACAACCATCTAATAAACAATAAAATGAACTAATCATAAATTCGTATTACTCTTAAACAAAAATTAATTATGGCTAGATCAATTTTCTCATCGTTACAATTCTTCCTTGCTTAGAGAAATTTTGTCCCCAATCAGACCATGACGTCCTCACCTTTTGCATCTACATCATCTTCTTGTACAGTTTTTCCAAATCAACAAACATAATTGTGTGCCCTTGAAAATTCATTTGACGCTACCCACACGAGATATGCCGATGCAAAATGAGCGGCCACAAACATAAGCCGAACAAGGTCGGCGCCTCCCGAACCTATAGTTAGTTTGAAATTAGATTTTGTACCCCTTTTAAATTCTTGTGGCTCGCTACATCCAATTATTGAAGTTTCAAAATTGATTCAATTCTCTCTAGATTTTAAGCTTTATGTTTAAATTTACTATTTCATTTTACATCCATTTTGTGCATCTTGGAAGTGCTGTTTCAAAGTAATAGGAGAATGAGATGATATTAAGTAAGTGTTGAAACAAAAATGCAAAACGAATCCAATCTTCCTTAAATATAATTTGAATATCTTACTTAGATATAATTAAAATATATAGAAGAGAATGTTTATCCCCAAACAGAATTACCAAAACAATCTATTATACTCCGTATTTATGAAATTCTGTTTCTAGAGTGAAATCAGTGTCAACTTATAATATTTATAGTATCCCAATTTAGAATAAATCATTTGAAAAAGGTTCTTAATCATTGCTACTACTCTTTCCGTCTCATAATTAACTTCAATTTTGACTTGACACAAAATTAAGAATCGGGAAATTATGTGATCTAAAATTATTTGGAGGAGAAAATTGTATAGAATCACCAAGTTTACGTAATACTACGTATAAAAAGTACTCCCTCCGTCTCTCTGTTATTGTCCTATCGCGGTTAACGATGTTTGGCCGACGATAAAGCAAACAGATCCCTGTCCGCACTCAAATTATTTTTAGGGAAAAAAATTACATATTCAGAAACTATATTAAAAGATTTACAAAGTCGCAAAAACCAGAATCAAATTTGATAAAAATTTGATACATAAAGTAAGAGATTAAGAGTGATTTGTGTTGACCAAGTGAATATGAAATGGGACGATAACAGAGGTACGAAGGGAGTACTTTTGTATTGTCAATATAAAAAGTTCTTATTTTAGTAGTATTTATTTTTATTTTAGTTAGAGTAGGCTTAGTTTACAAATTTGGATCTTTACGGTACATTTGATAAGGAGCATTTCAGGTTCAATTGTTTTAGACTTTAATAAATTGTCCGTTTCATATCTAACGAATCAGATTGTTTTACGTGAGGTGACTGATTAATTATATGTTTATTTCCCGTTGATGGAATATATGGCCTGGGGACCCCCGATCCACACACTCCTACTATTCCAACACAGACCCAACAGGGCCAAGAAGAACATGAGGCCCAAAACACCGCGGCCCAAGGTCAAAGGAAGCCACGGTGCGCTTGGGGATGCCTTCGAAACCATAGCCGAAGGCTCCAAACCCCAGGAAAACAGCTGATTTCAGGTGTACGAAGCTATTGGGAGAAAACGACAGAAATCAGGAGCCTTCGGCTCAGAGACGCCCTCGTCATGAGGGTAGCCTTCGGCTGCACAGAGCCTTCGGGTACACCGCACTCATCGAAGATTCCCTTTGGGGATATACAACCACCGCATTTAATGCGGCGTCACATCCACCCACCGCATTTAATGTGATGCAGATGTGAATGCCGATGCCACCCCGATTGAGGTGACCCCTCGGCCGTTAGATTGTTGTCACATGTACTCTCATCAAATTTATGGCTGTTACAAATAGCTCTTATTTACCTTGTAAAACAGGTTGAGTTCATTTAATACATTTGACTCTCTCTGACTTCTCTCTGGGGTATGCTATATTGCATCTTTTCTCAACTTTCAATATAAAAATCGACTCTTTATATTCAAAAAGAGGTTCTTAATTAATAATGATTTTATACTCCATTTTTTAGGATTAGAACAATAATTTACATTAATTTCACCTCTTAAACAGCTTTATCTCTTTGCGGCGTTCTCTCTCTCTTCTCCAACTTTTGATTTCCACCTTCATTTCTTCAAAGTTCAGTCCCCGCCCACTACTCCCACTCAGATTCCGACCAACATTTTCTTTCACCTCAGATCTGACGCCTAGAGTGACAGATCGGAGTCTCGGAAAGCTCAGTCGAACCGCTCATGGAGGAGGCCTTGGAGTTGGTACGTGCCAAGGACACTAAGGAGCGGATGGCTGGCGTCGAGCGGCTCCACCAACTCCTGGAAACTTCCAGAAAGAGTCTCTCCTCCTCGGATGTCACTTCGCTCGTCGACGTCTGTATGGATCTCTTGAAAGACAACAACTTTAGGGTTTCTCAGGGAGCACTACAAGCTCTCGACTCGGCCGCGATCCTCTCCGGCGATCACTTCAAGCTCCACTTCAATGCACTTGTTCCTGCCGTCGTCGAGAGGTTGGGGGATGCCAAACAGCCTGTTCGCGACGCCGCTAGAAGGCTGCTGCTTACTTTGATGCAGGTGCGAGTGCATGGACACCCGTTCACTCTTCAATAGCCTTTTCAATTTACCTTGATTTACGTTTTTCTCTGTTTCGATTGCAATTGTTTTTGAACTGTTTTGGATACGCCTGGTTTGTATTTTCCTATTTTCTATCTTTGTTTTATGTTCTTTGTTTTGTTTCGATCGCAATTGTTTGCACTGGTATAGATAATTGGATACACCTGGTTTGTGTTTTACTATTTTCTGCCTTTTGTTTTATGTTCTTTGCTTTGTTTCGATCCCAATTGAGTGTATAAATTTCATCAGTGCCTCAGACTTGCTTAGTGTTTCCTCCACTAACCCTCCACTTCTCTTCCTTTTTTTGAACATAATTTAGTAGATTCAAGTATGAAACACAATATACACATGTTTCAGTGTAGATGTACCTATAATAATTTAATAATCCTTATTAAATTTTAACTAAAATTAATAACAATTAATAACCTCTTATTGACGGACAAATACATAAAGGGAGATGAAGATCAACTTGATTACAACTATCCTCCACTTGGCAAAGATAAAGTGGAAGATCGAGTTCTGTGTGTGGTATACCATTTGATGTATAATTTGATAGCCATGCTCTATAGGAAACAGCATTCATTTCTGCCATTGACTCGATCATACTTAAGAAACAAGCTATGGAAGGGGATAGTATCTGTCATCTGAGATGATGATAAGCAATTGGGCATTGGGGTCACACAGGGGAAAATACCTATGATGCCTGGAAACTCTTTGGAGATGCATTTACAGGTTTCAGAAAGACAGACACTTCTTGGAAACCTTTAGGAAACTCTAAGAAAATATTTATTACGACTTTATTAAATGATGTTTCTTGCTTTTCACTTTTCACGTTTCTGTGCTACTTTGGAAAATAACTAATACTCCGTATAGAAGAGCATTTGGGTCTGGTTTTGTGATTTTCTAAAGATCATTCAAATGCTTTGCACAAGGAAGTATAACATGTTGAAGCTTTCAAAATTTCATTTTGAGACGTCATATGCTTAATTATAAATTGTTAATTTGCTGCAACTCCGACTTTACAGTATGCACCAGTAAACCGTAATATTATTTCTACTTGCTTTTCTGCCCAAAGGGATTGGCACAAGTAGGATGGCATTTATGGTTTTGTTTACCTGTGATTTTCTTACTGGACTCTGGTCAAATGGAGCTCAAGATACATTCCTTGCTCTCATAATTACATATGCCGCAGGTTTCTTCACCCACACTCATTGTTGAGAGAGCAGGATCTTATGCTTGGATGCATAAAAGCTTCAGAGTGCGGGAAGAGTTTGCTCGTACTGTTACAGCGGCAATTGGTCTTTTTGCATCCACAGAGCTGCCTCTTCAACGGGCTATCCTTCCGCCTGTATGTTATATATATTCTACTTTATTTTTCCTATTCAATCTATTATGCACTCTTTTGTATTCGTCAATTACTTTTATACTCGTATATTTTCAGATTTTGCAACTTCTAAATGATCCAAACCCTGGTGTGAGGGAAGCAGCTGCATCATGTATCGAGGTAATTGAAATTTACTTTCTCTATCTCTCTATATTTTTTTCTATCACTATGGTTATGGTATATTCTTGTATATATGTATGCATTATTTGTAGCCTTTTTATTTTATCATTTTTATATATAGTCATCTTTTTTATATTATCTTTTCATAATAGCTTATCTTTTTATCTTTATTCCTTCTTTTCCTTTTGGTTGTGATATCATGTATCGATTCATGTTAGCCGACCCCAATATCTTTTGGGACTAAGGCTTGGATGTTGTTGTTGTTGTTGTATGGTTATGGTAGTGGAAATGTCTCCGCTTCATGGAGGGGAATAAATTTCTACAGTGCATTACTGCATTTAGATTATCACAGGATTCTAAGTCAGGACTCTTCAGTCATAATATTCTTTTCATTATTTCGTACTTCAATTTTTTTAGACTAAAAATATACCTTTACGGCTTTAACAGCTTCTGATTCCTTCCATCCCCAGGAAATGTCTACTCAAGTTGGTCCTCACTTTGCTGATGAACTCCAGCGTCATAATCTTCCTCCAATGATGGTAGGTCCATGTGATCTATTCAGTTTATACTTTTTGTTGCCAATGTTGCGGTACACCGTACACTAAATAATGTTTTAGCTCCATATTTATTCTAATGTGTGATTTGGCTGCAGTTAAAAGATATTAATACAAGGCTTGAGAGAATTGAACCTAAGAATCGCCAGGTAGATGGATACACAAGTAATTATATGGCTCCTGATTTTAAACCTTTAAGCCACACCAAGAAAAGCAGTCCCAAAGCCAAGTATTCAGCACGGGAAGTATCCCTTTTTGGAGGTTAGTATTACCACATAATCAGATGGTGTTTTCTAAAAAAACAGAAACTTTAATGGAAATTTTGATAGTGTGTTTGACAATCTTCTAATGTTTAAACTAAGGAAGTGGTTGTTGGCTTTTACCAAAGTTTGTCTTGACTCTTGCTATGGCATTCTTTCTTTTATAGGAGATGGTGATGTTACAGAAAAACCAGTTGACCCAATTAAAGTATATTCCGAAAAGGAGCTCACCAGGGAATTCGAGAAGATTGCATCCACCTTTGTACCAGAGAAAGATTGGTCTATTCGTATTGCAGCCATGCAAAGAGTAGAAGGACTTGTACTTGGAGGTATGTAACCTACTTACAAGTTCTCATCACGCTGAGAGAGAGAGAGAGAGAGAGAGAGAGAGAGAGAGAGAGAGAGAGAGAGGGAGAGGGAGAGAGGGAGAGAGAGAGAGGTTGAATTAAACACAAAAGATTGCTTCCATGTAGCTTCTTTGGATGGAAACTAACAAAACTAATTTTTGCCATTATTACCAACTCAAAAACAGTTGTCTTAACCACAAATATTTTAATTCTAACCATAATGCGGGTTCGGTGACATGAAATTATGGTATCTAGTAGTTGTCTCAAATTAGGTCAACACTTGACACTACAGACTCATGCAAGAAGAGCAGAGTCAAAGGTTTACACTTTACACCAATGCTTTATTGCCACCTTTTGAAAGAATAATGTGAATGAAATTAACAAAATAAACATCATTATATCTGTTTCTCACGTGCCTGGTAAATAACTAAGATAGCTACGTATACAAATGACTGCTATAGTCATGACCCGTTACAAGATTGATAGTGTTATGATAAATATGGCTACAGCACATCTGAAAACTTGCTGGTTTCTGTACTTGCTAAATCTGTATTATAGTGGCTAAATACTTACTGTAGAGTTCTCAATGCATGTTTGCCCTATCTCTTACTATTCTACCAGGTGCAGCTGATTACCCTTGCTTTCGTGGACTTCTAAAGCAACTTGTTGGCCCTCTCAGCACACAATTATCTGACCGGAGATCCAGCATCGTGAAACAGGTTTAGTGACAGATATGTGAAAATGTGTGGCATCTTTGAAAAGCGGTAGAATTGTTTTCATATTCATTTTCAAACATATTTGTTCTTCCCCAAGTTACTATAAATTTTATTTGCCTTGCATAGTTGCATTCCAAAAACACCCCTTCAATTTTTATTGTGCAGTCTCATGCGTACTGCTAGACACATTGTTATATTCTTTGTGAAGTAGACTGTATGTGCCATTATTTACTGTCTTGTGCATGTAATCTGGCATGGGTAGATTCTGTTCTGTAAACTGTTATTATATGCCAATGTAATATCCCTGCATTTGTATGCTATGTGACTCATCTTCTGTCCTCTGCATTCTGATGGAACCTATCTTTGTGTATATGTGTAATGTGTAATTGTGCAATACATGGTTTTTCCCTATGTTGGTAGGCGTGCCATCTACTGAACTTTTTATCAAAAGAGCTTCTGGGAGATTTTGAGGCATGTGCAGAGATGTTCATTCCGGTGAGATCTTTTGTCATTGTTGATTGTAATGCTTGTTTTTACATGCATTTTCTGACTTTATTATTGTGAAATTCAGGTCCTTTTCAAGCTTGTTGTGATAACTGTTCTTGTTATTGCAGAATCGGCTGATAACTGTATTAAAACGGTAATCATCCTTCACGTAAATTTTTCTGAAAAACAATCAATCAGTTCTGTAGCATTATATTTAGTTCAACTAATCTATGGTTATTTTGGTCTCAGATGCTGCGTAACTGCAAAGTTTCCCGTGTACTACCTAGGGTAGCGGATTGTGCAAAGAATGACCGCAATGCAGTACTTCGTGCTAGGTTTGATTTTGCACCCCTGAATAATGAACTGATTTTTTAAGATTTAAATTCTAACTCAACCCAATTGTGCATTTCATTCTTTTATTGTAGATGTTGTGAATATGCACTTTTGATTCTAGAACATTGGCCTGATGCACCTGAGATACAACGCTCTGCTGATCTGTATGAGGAACTTATAAAATGTTGTGTGGCTGATGCAATGAGTGAGGTAAATCATGTTTTCCCGTTTTAGATATTATTTGTACACAATATATATGAATGCCTCCATCTTGTTTTATAGACCTATTTTTGACAGGTTGCACATTGCTTGTCTTAATAGCCTTCCTGTATGTTGCATCTTTTTGTTACTGAGTACTCCCTTATGATATTATTACTTATTAGGTACGATCAACTGCAAGAACCCTGTACAGAATGTTTGCGAAAACATGGCCAGAACGTTCAAGGAGGTTGTTTTTATCGTTTGATGCTGTGATTCAAAGGGTACTTGCGTTCCTTATTTATTCTTAAATTTCTGTCAACTTTTAGCGTTAGCACATCTTTTATGCTCTTTAATAAAAATGTGAATACAGATAATAAATGAAGAAGATGGTGGTATGCACAGGCGACATGCCTCTCCATCTCTTCGCGACAGAAGCTCACATACACTTGCTCCTCAAGCATCTGCTTCATATATCCCTGGTTATGGAACTTCTGCAATTGTTGCTATGGATAAAAGTGCTACTTTGTCCTCGGGGACTTCCACTTCTTCTGGAGTACTTCTGTCACAGGCAAAACATGCATCAACTGGCTCAGAACGAAGTCTAGAAAGTGTACTGCATGCAAGTAAACAGAAAGTTTCTGCTATAGAAAGTCTGCTAAAAGGCCTGGATACATCTGAAAGAAGGTCATCTAGTTTAGATCTAGGTAATTGTTTTTCTTTCCATTATTATTTTATCCTCACTAATATGTTCTGTATTTTGTTTCTCTTGAAGTGATAGTCTGCAAGGGTTGCTAGGCCCTGTTATATTAAGTTCAAAGTGAAGTTTTACTATATTTGATTACTTGATTTCATGAAAAGCTTAATTTAGGTGTTGTTGCCCCTAGTGCAGGAGTTGACCCACCATCTTCACGTGATCCACCTTTCCCATTCGCTGTTCCGGCATCAAACAATCTTACTCATGCCTTATTGGTAGATACTCCATTGAGTACCTCTAAAGGTAATACCCACAATGGCGGATTGGGTTTGTCTGACATAATAAAGCAGATAAAAACATCTAAAGATTCTACTAAATTATCATATCTTGGTAACTTTGGAAATGAACCCATCTCTATGCATTCATCTTACCCAACAAGACGAATATCTGAAAAACAATATGAAAGAGGCTTTGCTGAAGAGAGTATTGATGTTCGGGAGCCTAGGAGACACATAAACCCACATGCTGACCGACAATATTTAGATGTGCAGTATAGAGAAACTAATTTTAGGGATTCACACAGTAACTCTGTTCCTCACTTCCAAAGGCCTTTATCGAGAAAAAGTTCAGCAGGACGGATGTCTGCTAGCAGGAGGAGTTTTGATGATAGCCAAATTCCCCTTGGTGATATGTCTGGTTATGTGGAGGGGCCATCTTCTCTTAGTGATGCTCTAAGTGGTGGGCTTAGTTCAACTTCTGATTGGAATGCCAGAGTTTCTGCTTTCAACTATGTTCGTTCTTTGTTACAACAAGGGCCTAGAGGTATTCAAGAAATCATTCAGAGTTTCGAGAAGGTGATGAAGTTGTTTTACCAGCACCTTGATGATCCCCATCATAAAGTTGCCCAGGCTGCACTCTCAACACTTGCAGAGCTTATTCCTTCTTGCAAAAAACCATTTGAAAGTTACATAGAGAGGATCTTGCCCCATGTTTTTTCACGCTTAATTGATCCAAAGGAACTAGTCAGGCAGTCCTGCTCTACTACTTTGGATATAGTTGGAAAAACTTATGTTATAGATACACTTTTACCAGCGTTGCTTCGTTCTCTGGATGAACAGCGTTCTCCGAAGGCAAAATTGGCAGTTATCGAATTTGCCATTGGTTCTTTCAATAATCATCATTCGAGTTCGGAAGGCTCTTTTAACATTGGCATCCTCAAGTTATGGTTTGCCAAGTTGACACCACTGGTCCATGATAAGAACGTAAAACTAAAGGAAGCCTCTATAACTTGCATTGTTTCTGTTTACACGCATTTCGATCCAACAGCTGTTCTGAATTTTATTCTTAGTTTATCAGTTGAGGAACAAAATTCCTTGCGAAGAGCGCTTAAGCAATATACTCCTCGCATTGAAGTTGATTTGATGAATTTTCTCCAGAACAAGAAAGAGAGGCAGCGTTCCAAGACTTCATACGATCCATCTGATATTATTGGAACATCTTCAGAAGAGGGATATATTGGATCTTCCAAGAAGAGTAATTTATTTGGAAGGTATTCTGGTGGTTCAATTGATAGTGATGGGGGCAGAAGATGGAACTCTCTTCAAGATTCAGCCTATACCACGGGCTCTACCGGTCTCCCTTTATCTGATGATACTCAAGATAATTATCTCAGTATGGAGACTAGTTCCAACCCCACTATTCCTACTAAAGCCATGATTTCCAAATATGGGACAAATGTCACAAACGAAACTGGAACATTTACTAAACAGCCAGAAACAGATGAAATTAGTTCTACCATGGAATCCACCTCCACTCGCTTAGACATAAATCGGATAATTGATTCAGACATTGGCACTGATAGAGGGCCTTCACTTGATTCATCACTGTGTTATCCAATGGCAGCAACACTGCAGATTAGTTCAGCTCCCGAAACTGGACCTAGCATCCCTCAGATTCTTCACATGGTGAGTTTTATGAAGTCAATATCTATCATCCTACTACAGGCTGTAATCAATATATGTTATTTCTTCTTGTTGCTTGATAAGTACTTTTTCCTTCTAATCAGTAGAACCTCGTGAAATATTACCTTTCATTTCTCTATATTTGGTAGATTTGCAGTGGCAATGATGGAAGTTCCATTGAAAAGAAGTGTGCTGCACTGGAACAGCTGGTTGATGTTTCCGTCGGCAATGATCAATCAATTTGGAATAAGGTATCACTGCCATAAAAATCAAATCTGATGGGTTAACTGCATGTACCATTATATCAAATATTGATTTATATTTTAAGATTGACATTTAAGGAGACGTATGTTGTAGAGATCTAGTTTAAAATGTTTCTTTTGACAAAGCAGTTAAAAATATGTATTTGGATATGAATATGAGTAAATAACATGTTATCCTTTGTTGGTGCAGTTCTTTAACCAGATTTTAACAGCTATACTTGAGGTTTTAAGTGATTCTGAATCATCCATGCGTGAACATGCTCTATCGGTGATTGTTGAAATGTTGAAGAATCAGGTCTGTTTTTTCCATTCAATAGGAATTATTTCTTGTTCTTTGGAGAAAATGGACTGCTTTACTAGTTTCTCAATCTGTTTGCTTATCTCAGAAAGCTGCTATGGAGGATTCTATTGAGATTGTAATTGAAAAATTAGTTCATATCACCAAGGATGCAGTCCCCAAAGTAAAGTTTTATGGCTCTCACGTCTGATGTGAAATTGTATCAGTTTATATATTTCTATTGATGTCAACCAATTCCTGGTTCAGGTAGCGAATGAAGCAGAACATTGCCTGACAATAGTGTTGTCGCAATATGACCCATTCAGATGTTTAAGCGTAAGTAATTTCTAATTAGCCTCCATTTTGAATCTTTGATTGCCAAGGTTCCTTATTTTTCCTTCGTGCGATTGTTCTTTTTTTAGTTCTGCCTTGTTTTTTAACTTTTTTTGTAATGACAGGTTGTTGTTCCTGCTCTAGTTACTGAAGATGAAAAGACTCTAGTAACATGTATAAACTGTCTTACAAAGGTTGTTATTTCCCTCGTGCCCTGATAATACTAGTATAAAATATATGGATCAATGTATTAGTATCCCCTGTTAATCCAGTGGAATTATGAACAATAGCTTTACATAGATTACATCATAAGAAACGCATAAGCTCAAACCAATTTTTGCTTACTGCTTGGTTGGTTATTTGTGTTCTTAATGCCTTCTTACTGCAGCTTGTTGGCCGGCTCTCACAGGATGAGCTAATGTCTCAGTTGCCATCTTTTTTGCCTGCCTTGTTTGATGCGTTTGGAAATCAAAGTGCTGATGTTCGCAAGGTGACTTCTAATTCATTTTTCATTAATTGATTATTCTAATAAAGTGGTCTAGAGGCAAGCTCACTTTTCAATTCAAAAAGTTAGTGGGTCAAAGCATAAATATCTTGAACTATAGGATTTTAAACTCATCGTTGCCTCCTGATATTTTTCCATGCGAAGTGGGGAAACATCTGATAATGTCAATTTTGGAATTTGAATCTATTTAGTGTTAACCAATTTGTCATTGAAAGGAGGACAAGACTCATACCCTGAACCCAACATAAATGTGGATTGAGGTGATGATGAACTTTTTGGCAAAAACAATTTTGTTTACTATCGTGATATTGATAGAACTATCACAGGCATGTAATAGTAAAACAGTATGAAATCTAGCTCAAGAAACAATCTTCAACATCATTAATGGTGGTAAACCAGTACAACGAGTCCCAAAGAGAAGAGAAAACAATTCTCTAATCTTCGCTGTCTCACTAATCCCAGACTTATTCTATTTGTAACCTCCTAGCACAACCGAAAATAGTTAATAGCTAATTACAGAAAACAACTATTAACCCAACTAGTCTATTTATGTCTTCTAGAATAGACTTGACCAAAGTATCTATCCTTCTTATTAAGAATAGTTGTATCCGTATCAATACTCCCCCTCTGAAAATCCAACTTGTCCTCAAGTTTGAAATCTGGGAATTGATCTTGGATCACTTGTTCAGTCTCCCATGAATCTTCAAAATCAGGACAGTTTCTCCTGTGCGCCAGGAGTTCCTTTTCCCTTCATGATTAATTCTGACATCTCCCACTTCCTCTGGTATCACTTGCAATTTACATTCTTCTGTGAGACACTTAGGAAGATCTTGATAGGTAGTTGTAGGTTTCAACACCTTTTTCAGTAGAGATGTGAAATACAGGGTGTATTTTACTATCCACTGGTAATTGGAGTTTAAAAGCCACATGGTTTAACTTTTCTATAATCTCATATGGACCATAGAATCTGGGACTTAGCTTCTGATTGACTCTTTTAGCCAAGCTATTCATTTTATAAGGTTGTACCTTCAAAAATACTCTGTCCCCAACTTCCAAATCCACTCCTCTTCTATGCTTGTCAGCTTGCTGTTTCATTATATTCTGAGCTTTAGCCAGGTTTTCCTTCAGCTCTTTTAATCTCATTTCTTTCAGCTGTTAATCTAGATACTTCAGCCACTGCAGTTAAGCTTACATCTCCTATTGATTATGGTAGGTGGTTCTTGTCCAAACAATGCTTTATACGGAGTATTTTTTAGGGAAATGTGGTAGTTGGTGTTGTACCAAAATTCTGCCCAGGGTAACCATTTCACCCACTGTTTAGGTTTCGTGCCAGTCAGACACCTCAAATATGTTTCCAAATACCTGTTGACTATGTCTGCCCATCACTCTGGGGATGGTATGCAGTGCTGTACTTTAGTTGAGTGCCTGCCAATTTAAACAGTTCTGACTAGAAAGAACTTAGAAAGATACCATCCTGTCACTTACAATTGACTTAGGAAACCCATGTATCTTTACAACTTCTTGGATGAATAGCTCAGCAACTCCCTTAGCATTAAAAGGGTGGGATAGGGGCAGGAAATGTGCAAATTTAGTCAATCTATCAACTACCACCAGCACAGTATTTTTACCCTTCACAGTATCTTTACCCTGGGATTTAGATAGCCCACCTATATAAAGTCCATACTGATGTCAGTCCATATATGGTCAGGTATGGGTAAAGGGTGTAACAAGCCGGCAGGTTTTAGGACCTGATATTTATTTCTCTGGCAAACCTCACAACCTTGGATGTAATCCTTAATGTCAGATCTCATGCCAGACCAAAAAAATAAGCTTGAGATCCTCTTCATGGTTCCAAAATAACCTGAATGTCCCCCTACTGTTGAGTCATGATATTTCTTCAGGATGGTGAGTATTCTGCTGGATCCCTTAGGTAACAACGGTTTACCTTTGTAGTATAGTAATCCCCCTTTTATCTTGTAATCCACACACTTGTCTTCTGGATGATTTCTCCATTCTAACCAGCCACCCGAAAGCATCATCCCCAATAAAAATAGGTAAATCGATCTTTCGTCCGGTATGATGATTTCTGTGACCTGCGATGATCGCGATCGTGATGCGATGAGGAATATCCGGAATGATCGTCTGAACCTTCCGAACTATGAGAACCTTTCGCATGTCTGCGATGTGATGTGCAATGCGAAGTGTTTGAGTGGTGAGATTGACTTCTCGAGTGACTTTGAAGCCCGTTCTCCGTATTTGCGAATGATGTCTGCATCGCCATCATATTTTCATCCAGTCTCTTCACCATTCTCTCAACGTCGTTCATTCACATCTCCATTTTCGGACGAGTACAGACCATCCACATTGTTCGACGTTCTCTGATACCACTGATAGAATTATCGCAGGTAATGTAATAGTAAAACAGTATGAAATCTAGCTTAAGAAACAATCTCCAACTTCATTAATGGTGGTAAACCAGTATAACGAGTCCCAAAGAGAAGAGAAAACGATTCTCTAATCTTCCCCGCCCCAGCTCAACTGTCTAACAGCCTGTCTCACCAATCCCAGACTTGTTCAATTTATAACCTCCTAGCACAACCGAAAGTAGTTAATAGCTAATAACAGAAAACAACTATTAACCGACTAGTCTATTTATTTCTTCTAGAATAGACTTGACTAAAGTATCTATCCTTCTTATTAAGAATAGTCGTATCTCTATCAGATATAGTACATTTTTTAATTAGAGAGTTTATTCTTAGTGCTGTCCTTGGTTAGTGCAACTGTCCTTGTGTTCATGTGGGGTTTTGATATAAGTAATACTCCATCCAACCCACAAAACTTAATCAAGTTTGACTTGCAGAATTGTGCAGAAGAGAGATACATAACATAATCACATAAATAGAATTGGCAAACTTTATTGGGATAGTTAATTCAAGAAATTTGGCAATGTGTTGTTGGACGGGAGTGCTCAAGAAAAATCTACGTGCAAATAAGATTAGTTTTAAAAAATTTCAAAAAAGTGACTAAGATGACATTTATAAGATTAGTTTACAAACTCCAGTGTCCCAGTGACCACTGACCAATCACCACTGGTGACCATGGTGCCCCAATGACTGCCGTTCAGTTACTCTTGCTCTGTCCAGTGATCTATTTTTCGTCGACCCACCGCCCCGTGACGTGACATCGATGACCCATTGGTGACCCTCCTGCTAGTAGTTACTTACTGAGTACTGCGTACATTTTTTCCAATGCAACCAATGACACAGCAGCTGATAGAGAGCAAGAAGAATCTGGGGCGGGAACGGGATTGGGCTCACTTCCGTGGGCCGGTTCTGGGCTAGGGATTATAGTTTTATTTATTTATAAAATTTATCATTATGTTTTAGTTGGGCCTATTATTAGTAGTGGTTAGTTAAGTTAAATTGGGCTTAATTAGGGTTTAAGTAATTTGGGCTTGATTAAGGTTTCTTGTAGAAGCTATTTATACCCCTTGCTAGGGTTCATTCTGATTATCTTGGAATAAAGTTAGAGTTTAGCCTTTTGGCTTTGGGCAACGGTATTTTTATCGTTGATTATCTGGGCAACGGTTCACCCCGTTGATTTTTATTTATCTGCTACACATTAATTGGTCCGACCTGCCGGATCCCGTCCCGCCAAGATGACCAGAACTCAGAATGAACGCTTGACAGAGATGGAAATCGAGCAGAACCGAATGGGAGAGGAAGTGGCCCGACTGGGGGCTGAGCAAACCCGGATGGCACTCGAGCAGAAGCGCATGAACCAGACGCTCGAAGACCACGGTGCAAAGCTGGCGGAGATCGTCGCCTCCCTGGCAGCGCTGACGCATGCCCTTGTGCCGCCAGTGTCGCCGGAAACATCCACGGCGGCCGTCGGAAGCACAGCAGCGACCGCGCCCAGCGGCGAAGGGTTGCCGCGCACCACAACTCCAACCAGCGGCGAAGGGTTGCCGCCCGTCACAACTCCGACCTTGTTGCATGCGTTTGATGGCGCAGATCCCATCGGATGGGTGGCCAGAGCTGAGCAGCAGTTTGAACTTCATCAAACCCTACCTGGAAGCAAAGTGGCAGCAGCTACTGTAGCCATGGAAGGGGCTGCCCTGTACTGGTTGACCTGGTTGAGGGAACGGAAACCGGGCCTGACTTGGGAGGAATTCACAGATGCACTGGTGGCCCGTTTTGATTCACGGTTCAAGGGCAACCGATTTGAACGGCTGTCCGGGGCCAAACAGTTGGGAACCATAGAAGAATACAATAACCTTTTTGTGCAGTTGGCCAGTCAAGTTCCTGGACTGTCCGATGATCACTATTTGGGGTATTTCATGAACGGGCTGAAGGGACCGATTCGGGGATCCTTACGATTGCTGCGGCCAAACAGTCTGGAGATTGCAATGGAGTTGGCCAAAGATATTGAGCACAACTTGTCCCTTCAAGAGGGAGACTGGGAAAGTCAACCCTTCGACACAAACTTGCATTCGAGCAGTTTTTTGCGCCCAACTGGCAGTAAAAGCACGACCATAGGTGGTGGCAGCTTAAGAGGATCGAATGGCAGCTTTCCTAAAGACATTGGGCAGCCTCCGGGGACAAAGTCAGGGCTGTCCGGGCAGCCCACGACACGCTCACAGTTCACTCGACTTCCGCCGAAAGAGTTTGCAGAATTGCGGGCGAAAGGATTATGCTTTAGGTGTAAGAAACCATTTACACTAGGGCATGACTGCCCCTTTAAGCAGTTGCGGGTAATGATAGCTGAGGAGGATGAGGAGTTGGACCTCCAGCAACATGAGTACTGTGAAATAACTGGTCGGGAAAAGGTTCTGGAAGGCGATGAAGGATATTTTCCAGTCTATTCCATGGTTGGAAATTTCAGTCATCGATCTGCGAAATTACAACCTTGAGGACAAGGTTATTTGAAGGGGGATGGATTGATAGAGAGCAAGAAGAATCTGGGGCGGGAACGGGATTGGGCTCACTTCCGTGGGCCGGTTCTGGGCTAGGGATTATAGTTTTATTTATTTATAAAATTTATCATTATGTTTTAGTTGGGCCTATTATTAGTAGTGGTTAGTTAAGTTAAATTGGGCTTAATTAGGGTTTAAGTAATTTGGGCTTGATTAGGGTTTCTTGTAGAAGCTATTTATACCCCTTGCTAGGGTTCATTCTGATTATCTTGGAATAAAGTTAGAGTTTAGCCTTTTGGCTTTGGGCAACGGTATTTTTATCGTTGATTATCTGGGCAACGGTTCACCCCGTTGATTTTTATTTATCTGCTACACATTAGCAGCCTCCTGCCAGTAACAATGAAGCCTCCAGCCGTGATATCGCCATCTTGATCACTGCCACCCCTATTCCTGATCACGGCTACTGCCGTCTTGGTCAGTGGCACAGCCGCCTGACCAGTGACATCATCCGTAACAACGGTCGCAACTCTAGAAGTAAAAAATCAACGAAGGAGATGAAACCCTGCCCGCTTCCCTCCTGTCCTTAACCGTAGACGCCCACCACACCTCTATAACCCTAGGTGCTATCCATCCCACCCCTGTAACCCTCTCTGCCTCCCATTCAAAGAGTAGCTGTCGTTTACTCGCCTCCACCACTTGGCAGATCACCTGTACTGATGATGCTTGTGGTCCTCTCATATATGCTCCTTCCTAGTCATCACGTCAACAAAAAAAAAGACAACTTAGAGGGACAGTAGCGAAGAATGACAACCATGATTTCAAGCATGATTGATGAAGCAGACAGCGATGAAAGGTTTATTGCTGGATCTGGAGAAGTCGTGAGATGAAGCCGATTTGAAGAAAGTCGAAGCTGTGGCCTGTGAAAGAAGACGACTTTGTTTAATAGAGGCAAATTTCCAGTGATGGACTTTGTGTTTGGATGCAACAGAGATGGCGTTTGACGATGGAGCGAAATAGATAAGGTTGGAGAAGGGGGGGAGACAAACGGTTTGTGTAGGGAGGAGAAAGAGTTTAATTTTGGGAATTCATACCGTTGGTATTGTAGTCTATTCGTTCCTAATTTAGTCTCTTTATGCTCCAAGGCTTAGTCATATTTTTGTCCATGACAAGTCTTAAGTATTATTTAGGCCATTATTTCCATCCTATATCCTTTGTGCATCATGTCCTCTTAGAGACTTCTCATTATTATTTATGTGCTTTTACTTTTTTGGCAGACTGTGGTTTTCTGTTTAGTTGACATATACATCATGCTGGGGAAATTGTTTTTGCCATACTTGGAAGGCCTGAATAGTACACAACTGAGATTGGTAACAATCTATGCAAACCGGATATCACAAGCAAGAACAGGCACCCCCATAGATGGCACCCAAAGTTAGATTTGATCGCTTTGGCGACGCCATAAATTGATTGGTGGTGTGTGAGGAGTTAGATTTCATCTGATTGGTTGTGTACATTAGTGTGAATGAGCATTGAGGGTGTTAGCAAGTTGTATTCTTCTTGGTAATGTAATTTTTGTCTTCCATTTTTTTGTTTAATTCAAATAGCTAGAGGGGTGTAATTGGATAGTGTGTTTTCAGTCTGAGGATGCACAATTATTGTTTCTTCTCTCCAGGCTCCATTATAATGAAAATCAACGTTTGTTTGTTCTTCTCTCGTCATAAATGCCATCAATCTTTCACTATAAACTCACAGATACATATGTACACTTTAATATGAGTTTTATATGTTGAATGGCTTTGTAAGTCATTAGAAGATAAATTCAAGTTCTAATACTATTCTCTTGATTACAATTTCCAAATATTATGCGATTGCTCTGTTGGGACATAATATCAAATGTTGGTTTTGTTGACTCAAAAGTCAAAATACGTCTTGTTGCATATTTGAATCTACTAGTTCAAGGCAATCCATTTGATTGGTTTCTATATAATTTGAATGCCAAATTAAAATTCTAAAATATAATTATATAAAATATAATTTCCAATTTTGGTTATTGTTTTTGTGACAAAATATCAGATGTCTATTATTATGTTGATAAAGCATGACATCTACTTGACTACTTGTACTTTTAATCATATGTATGTCAGTATGTGCAATGTAAACTATTTTTCTTATTCTCGTTAGTCACTAGAAAGTTAATTCAAGTTTTAAAACTACTACAACATATACGGTATACCTGACCCTTATTTCCAAAATATTTTGAAGTTGGCTAACAAAATTGGATAGATAAATTAAATATTAGATGAGAATAACATAAAAAGATAAAATATAAAAAGATAAAAGAACATAAGAAAGACAAGATAAAAATAAAGTAACAAATTAAGAACATACAAAGGTAAAGAAGATAAAAGGTAAAAAAAAAGATCATCCCTCCACTTCACTCTCTTTCTCTAAAGCGTTGTTCTCCCATTTTTCCATTTATATAATTCGGAGTATTTATTTATTTTTATTCCCTTTAGTGATGTACTCGTGTACATCTCTTATACGGTACTGGAAAAAGATAAAACTGAAGTATCTTCTCTTTTTTGTTATGCATCTTTTTAAGCATCTGTTATACCAAATTTGTACCATATGTGTTATGAATTTTGGGGGACTCAGGGCTAGTACCTATTTCATGTGGGAGCTGTGCAGAATATTAAATATAATTACAACCATTTTTATTTAATACGTAAGCAACATAGAAATAGAACAGTAACTATAAGAGTTCTACAATTTTCATAGTGTTACGAACTAAGAGGATTGAGATCCTATGCCATAAGGCAGAGTGGCTTACTTAAATGGACGGCAAGATTAAAAATTAGGCTTCGAGATTCGTGCAAAAAATGAGCTCCTTAATCTTCAACCCTTCATTTTTGATCTGATGGAGGAAACAGCCAGGCACCCTCCTTGGCTGCTTAACCAAGGCAGAGACGCTGGATCCGAACTATGATGGCGAGAAAGAAACTATTATAGAATGATGGTATGATACTAGTATATAATACTATCTCCGTCCCTTAATTAAAACTTTGTCAAAGTTGACCGACACGAAGAATAATAAAGTAAAAACTGTATGGTTAAAGTTTGTGCAGAGGAGAGAGAAATAACAGAAACCACAAAATAATTGATTAAAAGGGAAAGTGGCAAAGTTTTTTTGGAACGTCCCAAAAAGGAAAGATGGTAAAGTTAATAACAATAAGAATAATAATAGTAATAAAAATAATAAAAGTAATAATAGTAGTAATAATAACAATCGAGTGGGTGATAAATGAGCAAGTGATCAAGTGTACGTACAATCATTTCCAACAATCATTAGAATAATACGAAGTATAATAAAAGTCACTTCTTCAATAAAAATGAAAAGGTTAGTTTGTGAACAGTTTACCCTTCATTACAACCTTTATTATTTTTATAATTAATATAATACAAGAAAATACATTATGGAATTCAAGGCACCACCGCAGTACTGCTCGCCAGTAGCCGGCAGCTGCCAGCCACGACTAAATCATAAATGTTAAATACTAAATAAACTCTAAAATCCTAAACACCAAACTATATACGCCTAAACCCCAAAACAATTTAGAGATAAAAAGGTAATAAAAGAATATAATTTGTATTTTGGTGGAAAATTGTGCTTTTATAATTGTCTTGATCAAATATGTGGTAGTGCAAATTTTGTTATGGAAATTGTGGTGTAATAGATCAAATATGTGGGCATGCAATTGATGTTATTTTTTAGTTGCTTTATTAATCATTGCAATAATTTTATGTATCGATCCAGTGGCTGTGTTTAACCGGTAGGGGAATTAAAGAAATTTAAGGGTGGAGAAGATTTGAATCATGATATAGAATCATAATAACCAATGACATTCAATGACATTCTTATTATCCATGACTTATTATTAGTAGTTATATGTTATGAATTGGGATTTTATACTTATTATTGCTTGCATGTTGTTTCGATCAGCATCTCATTCTCTGAAAGAAGCTGCCAATGCATGTAGACCTTTTGGGGAGATAAAATGAAAGTTACAGAGGTCAACACAATTCACTTATATCTTTATGTATTGAAAATTTTATTGGAAATTGCAATTTTCGTCTGGTAATATGTTTAGTCATTTTCATTATTAGTCCCGTAACTTTGATCACTTGCAAATTTGGTCTCGTAATAGGTTATTGAAAATCATCTCACGTTTAGCGACGCTTTTGGAGTGTTATACCGACACCAAGGATTAGCATCGCGAGAAGGTCTAGCGACACAAGCAAAGCAAGCGCTTGTAAAAGCGTCGGTGAAAGTACTTCTGACGCTTTTTTGCACCCAAGCAAGTCTACATGAAGCGTCGTAATAGCTCATTTTCCTACTAGAGTGAAAATACATAGCTTGTGATGAACATCGGTTGACTTTTAAAATGTTAATATTTTAGTGCATGATATTTTAGAAATGCAAATATATTTTAATTAGAAATGATGATTTTTTGTACAATATCCTTTTGTTAGTTTGGGACATTCCGAATCATCTTGATCCTGATATGAATGGGACAATACTAGATAGTCTTGTCCCGTACCGTGATTACTAATTGGGTTGGGATTGGGATAACCCTAATCTCGAACTGTCCTGACCCGTGCCCACCCCTAGTTATATGCATAATGGTCTCCGACTCGCCCCATTGACATCTCTATGAACACTCCCTCTTTTTTCTTTTCTTCTCTTTTTATTTTTTCCCCCTTCTATTCATACTTCATATCCATCATTATCTTCCATCATCATCTTCACCTTTATTTTTGTATGTATACCGGAATTAAAAAAAAAGAAAATTAGTCGCCACAAAAGCAAAGATGACACTTGTCAAAAAAATTTTCTCTACAAAAATTATCCATGTCATACTAAATATCGATATAATCTGTCTGTAATGAAAATGAAATTGCAAAACTAATACGGAGTAACATTTTGTAAAATTGCGTTACAAACAAAAATGTCTGATCTATATATATATATATATATATATATATATATATATATATATATTGGTTTGCATGTCAGTCACATCGATTTGCTGGTCGTGCATAGACATTAATCGTCTGTGTACACAAACGAAAAATGTTACACACGAAGAAAAGATGTATAAGTCAGACATTAGTTATCTGTATACATACAAAAAATGTATGTGCGATGTTTATTAGTTTCGTGCACCTAAAAAGTGATGTTTCTGGAAAAAATAGGCAAACCAATGTGAGTTGCATGCAAATGAATGTTTGTATATAGATATTAGTTGTCTTTATATATACAAACAATGTCTATACTCATATTTGTTGAATGTCTATACTCATTTCTTGTTAGTAAAGTCTGATTTTCCACGGAAAAAAACCTTAGATTTACAAATATTTTCATACTAATTTTTCAGTTTAATTTTTTCACACACACGATTTTTTTTCCAAAATTTAGAACAATACAAACACTATTTACGACAACATCTTCTGTTATTTACTCCCTCCGTCCCAATAAAAACTTCGGTTTTGACTTGGCACACATATTAAGATAGTGAGAATTGTGTGGTGGAGAGTTATGCAGATGAGAGAGAAATGTGTAAGAATGTGTAAGAATGATTGTGAACCACGAATTCTTTTCCAAAAAGGAAAAGAAAGGATAAATTTGTAACAGACCGAAATGGAAAGAATGAAGATAATTATGGTAGGGAGGGTGTATTGTTTTCCCGGCAATATTTCTGGTGACACGCAGAGGTGAATCCAACTCCTTTGATATTGACCGAAAATGAAGTAAAGTAACAATGGTGATATGTGGGATCCGGTTCAAACCATCTACTCATTTCTGTTCCATTACATTATCTTTGATTCTTTGTGTTCACTTGCCAATAATTTTAAGAGATATTACCCGAAATAGGACTAAAACGGTTTGAAAATTCCAAAATAGGACTGACATGTTTTTATTCCCAAATTATGACTAATTACTGTCATTTTTTGGGAGTACCAGACTTCAAACATGACAGTATTTTCTAAACACGACAGTAATTAGTCTCATTTTGGGAATAAAAAACATGACAGTCCTATTTTGAAATTTTGAAAGTGTTTTAGTCCTATTTTGAAAACATGACGGTAATCGTTCTTCGCACAGACTCTATTCACAAACACAATTTCATACCTTTTTGAAATTTATGCAATATTTTTGAGGAATTGTATGTATACCCAAATAATTAAGGAAATGTAGTGTTTATAAGAATGCGATAGAAATGGATTTAACTAAAATTTAATTAGTTTATTCACTTTTATAGGGGTAACACCCCACTACCATAGTGAGTGATAATAGTGATCTCAAGTATAATTGAAATTGATCGAGTCATATAAAATTGAGTTGGTTATTCTTGTCTTCTTTTATACCATAGTGATTCCTCCTCTATACTCTCCTCTCTTATTTCTTTTCTTTCCTCATGAGCTTAAGATGAAGGCCAAACTATAAACACTAATCATGTTCTCAATGGACTTAAAGTTTAATTTTATGGTTTAATAGAGGTCTACTTTATGTATATTTTATTGTCTGATCTCCCAAATCTAATGTGATATAATCTCATCAATTTAAAAGTGTTTGGATTCACTTCTCTAGTATCAGACTAAAATTAGATGAATCTAAACACAATAACTATTTGTACACGTCCAAATTCACTTCTCTAGTATCAGACTAAAATTAGACTTTTTTTGTCTATGAATACACTGTCCATAGACAAATTATGGACAATGTATTTACGTACAGAAAAAATACTCTCATAGACAATGTATATAAAGCGTGTATGGATTTGACGTGTATACAACAAGAATTTCCCTAATCGAAAACATTTTAGAAAAATGCTTAATGTACACACCATGTACACAAGTTGTTCATGGTATAAAAGCAAAAAAAATCTCATTTCTCCCTTCCCTCTTCTCTCTCGGTTCTCTCTCTCCCTTCTCTCTCCCTTCTTTCTTTCCTCTACCCAATCTCTTCTAAAATTCTCAAAAAAAGATGATCATCTTATCTTCTTCATCCTCCTTTCATTCTTTCATCCTCTTTTTCTCTACCTTTTTATATCAAATTTTTTCATTGTTTGCACAAAATCAGCTTATTCATCTTATTTCATCTATTTTTATTATTTTTCTATTTTTTTCAAATTACATGTAAATTGATTACACATACAACTACATCATTCATTTGGATGTATAGACAATTATTTTTTTTGTTCACCCAAACAATTAAAATTGATCACACAGACAACTAAAGTTGATCACACAGTACAAACAACTATTGTTTGTGAGACGCACAACTATTATCTGTGTGGTAAACATCGTCTGTGCACACAGACAAATAATTGTCTGTGCAACACGAAAATATCATCTGTGCACACAAACACTACACATATATAGATTGATTTGCAAACTTGTGTCAGTGTCAGACGGTTGTATTTTGTGTACAAAATTGTCTACCCCTAGCATTTTCTGAACATTTTACTACTAGTAATAAACACCTTCGATGTCCTAGGTAGACTACAAGTAACATCATGGTGAGTCTTATTATGCTACAATGTCACCACCTCTACCTCCAAACGCTCAAAGTTTAACTTCAAGATTTCAACTTTGCGCAGTTCTTTGGCTGTTTGTTATATTCGGGTCTAGTGAGAATTTTTACTCTGTGAACCTGCAAAATACACGGGAGTCAGAATAGAATACAATATCCGTGGTGGTTATCGATTTAGGTTATATACGCAGAAACGAGGCAATCAAACTCCCCAGACCAAAATAATTATAAAATCTGAAAATATCGAGACCCACAAATCTGTTCTTCCCACTAGGGTATAGTACGTTGCTTACAGACAGGTGAATTTGGAGAAACTTCCCAAAAATTACCAGCGCTGAATCATTGCTAGCTTGCTACAGTTGATAAGTTCAAACTATCACATCATAGAAAGGAAGTGTATTTCGCTGACTTAATTCTGCTTTTTTAGAAGAAATTAACTTGCAGAGACGCGCGATGGATCACCGCCTTCCGGATTTCGACGTGGATGATGAATTCAATCTGCCTCCCACCGCCACTTCTTCTGGTTCGACCAGACATAATAAGAAGCCTGCAATGTAAGTTTTATGCTCTCTATCCATGTGAGTTGCGGTGGAAGTTAATTGGAGAACGGAGGTTGGTGTTTAATTTGATTTTAAATACAGGGATGAAGAGAACATCATGGAGCTTCTATGGCAGAACGGTCAAGTTGTTATGCATACTCAAAACCAGAGATCCTATCATAAACCAATCTTCTCCAGCGACGCGGCAATTCCCGCTGAGCAGCCCGTGGGCAGACAGATTCGACTGCCGGGAGAAGAAACGTCGGCGGCGAACCAGCATCTGTTCATGGAGGAGGATGAGATGGCATCTTGGCTTGACTACCCTCTCGATGAGCCCTCCTTTGACGACCGTGATCTCTACTGCTCTGATCTCCTTTATCCACCTGCAGCTACGACGTTTGCTCCTCCCGTGTCCTCCGTCCCGACACGCGAAATCCGCTCGCCTGCAGCCGAGATCCGTCAGGCTCGGATTCATCAGCCGCCAACGCAGACGCCACGTGTACCTCTGGCTAAACCTCCTGAGGCTCGAGGTGCGCCACGCGTCCAAAACTTCAGCCACTTCTCGCGACTGCATAGAGGGAGGATCGAACCGGTGCCGTTGAGTTCGAGCAAGGCGCCAATAGAATCGACGATCGTGGACTCGAGCGAGACCCCACACGTAGCAGAAAGTGTGACGCCGGTGTCTGGCGGGAAGTTAAGCGGCACGGTGGACACCGGCTCGTCGCCAAGAGGTAAAAGGGATGAAAAGGTATCGTGCGAGCAAACGGTAACGTCATCTCCCGGAGATTCAGGAGCCAGCGGCAGCGCGGAGCCGCCCCAAAACGCAGCGGTAGATGACCGGAAGCGTAAGGGAAGAGAAGCGGACGAGACGGAGGGCCACAGTGAGGTAATTAACCAGTCTCTTAATTCTGGCGCATCACTTTGTTTTAACCGTTCCCCGCGTGGAATGTTAGTAAACTGCGGTTCCGCCACGTGTGTAAATTTGTCCCAAAAAGTAATTTTTACTGGTAACGGTAAAATTCGCAAGAATTGCTACAGTAATTAATGCTCTCATTTCACATGGCTTGTCTGTCCCTGTATTAATACCGTAGTACTAAATATTTTTCATATTTAAATCGGATTTTTTTATTCAATTCAACTGTTTGTTTATTTTTTTTAAATGTACTCCCTCCGTCCCTAAATGTTCTTCCAAATTAAATTGACACGGTGATTAAGAAAGTGGGAATTGTGCGATAAAGAGTTGTGTAGAGGAGAAAGAAATGCTGTGAATCACAAATTCTTTGCCAAAAAGGAAAAGTGAAGTTCTTTTTGGGACGGACGAAAAGGGAAAGTTGGAAGTAAATTTAGGGACGGGGGAGTATGTGTTAATGGTAAAATAAAATTTACTCCGTATATTTTAATATAAAGAGACTAGCTTTGTGCTAAGTCAAGCTTCATAAACAGTTGGGGACAAGTAATATGGACGGCAGGAGTAAAGCTTTTGAAATGTACGCATCACAATCTCTGTCTCCACGCTTTGGCTTCAATCTAAATTGGAGCCTCCGTACCTTAGTTAGCGCTGAAATGGACACAGCCATAGAACTTGGATATTTTGTCTGAAACTGCATGTGAACTTAATTGCACCCACTTATATTTCTGGCATCTTATAGGTTGATTGGAATCAGCACATCACAATTATTTGTAACCTTATTCTTGCCAAATAGTCATTTTCATTGGACACAGTTTGTCTAGTCATGATTCTTTTTTAACACAAAAGCAAATTTAGAAATGAGACTCTTTTTGTGGGAAGGAGTAATGATCTTTGAAGCTGAAAATTTGAGAGTAGACCGAGTAAACTTGATGACACTGAATCCCATGTTGCGCTCTGGATTTTTGGTTTATGAGTTCAATCTTCTAGTTTTTGTGTTGCTTTTTACTCAAGCTCTGATTTATTTTATTGAATTGGTTAAGTTGGAGCCAAAAACTCACTATTTTTTTGCTTGGGAATATGATGGAATAAAGTAAATGGACTCACTAAACTGTTTGCGCTTCTTTGTTATGAAACGTCAGTTCATCCAATTTTGAAGGGATTTTCACTATGGGTCATTCGGAAACAGTCTCTGTGCTTTAGTACGGGGTAAGACTGCGTACATCTGGCCCCCCTTACCCCACCGTAGGTGGGGTAATGATAATGATGATGGTTAAATTGACAAAGTTTTTCCATCATTTGCAATGGAGCCAAAAACTCACTATTTTTTTGCTTGAGAATATGATGGAATAAAGCAAAATGTTATGAAGCAGCTGTCAGTCCATGCAATTTCCAACGTGGTTTTCACTATGTTTAGTGCAAAGGTAAGACTGCGTACATCCGACCCCCTTATCCCACCATAGGAGGGGAGCCTTTGCGGCACTGAGTAATGATGATGATGGTTAAATTGGCAAAGTCTATTCCAACATTGCAGCCAAGGGCAACATTTTTGTGCGAACTTATGAAAGTGTTTTGTCATCTGATGCAAAAATTTCAATTACTTATTGTATTAATTTTGTCTGTTGAATTGGTTACCATTTTTTGTGTGGGATTCTGGACTTGAGCATTATTGTAGTAATTGTTTCTTCACTCACACAGTTTTCTTCTCGGCAACATTTACTTAAAAGATCCAATGGTACTTAATTGCCACTATACTTAGTCAGTGTGTACCTTTCTGTTGCATGTGAATGGAATTCTTAAACCTTATAGGATATGGACTTAGAATCTGTTGATACAAAGAAGGATAAGCGTGGTTGCCCCTCAACAAAGAGATCTCGGGCTGCACAGGTCCATAATCTCTCAGAAAGGGTATGTGTACAGTGTCATTTGTGAGCTGTTTTGTTGTTTTTGTTCTTGTTTTCCATCTACTGTGCTTTCTACTCACTTTTCAATGCATGCTGAGGTGCAGAGGCGGCGTGATAGGATTAATGAAAAGATGAGGGCTTTGCAAGAACTCATACCACGCTGCAACAAGGTTTTGATTCACCGAAAACTTATACGAAGTAGTTATTTTTTTTTTGTCTATGCTTGGAATTGCCATTTTTTACAAATGGAAATAGGCTGATACAAACGCAAACTCTCTCACACACACGGTTGCTTGTTCCACTTTTATATGGAAGTTTATTAGTACTTGCCCCCACTTTTCTAAAAATCGGCCTAGTAGGACCGATTAATCGGCCTAGTCGGCCCTAACTATAGAGGACTAATTGGCCTAATCGGCCAAAAAATCAGCCTAGTCGGCCATTTAGTCGCTAGGTGCCCTTAACGGCCGCCTAGCGCCTAGCGAGTTTTAGCAACTTTTGGCACCCCTCACCCATTTTTCATTTTTGGCAACTTTTGTACTTCATAACTAAATGACGTAAATACTGTTCTCTTTCATCGTCTTCCCCTACTTATTCTGCAATAATCACTATCCTTGAAAAGTTTCTCTTAAATTTCATGAAAAACTACTAGAACAAATAAAAGTGAATGAGAAGATCATATATTTATACACGTTTCATGTTACTTTTTGTTTTGTTTTTTTCAGTCAGACAAAGCTTCAATGTTGGATGATGCAATCGAGTACTTGAAATCCTTACAAGTGCAAGTGCAAGTATGCCGCTAACACCTTCTTTTAACTGCTTAGTCATTAATATTCGCTTTCGGCAGTTTTGCGGAGGTGGCTCCCATCACCTAAAACCAAATTAGCACCTCTAGTCCTGAAAAGTGTAATGATACCAAAATAAAGTACCAGAGTAATCTTGTGTCCTGATTTAGCCTCTGTTTGGCAATGGTTAGTTGACTAAAATCAGGCTGATTGATTAATATGGTTACTAGACTAAAATAGCTGACTTCACTGATTTTCTAGGACAAACTATTGGTAAAATTATTTCAGCCATTCAAGTAAGTCAAAAATTACTTATTTTCTTTATTTGACAATGAAATAAGCCCTGATTACCGAACAGAGCCATAACTTATTTGAATCAAATACGGAGTATATCCTACCAAACACTTTCCCTTTGAGAAAGTTCACTAGACTCGGAGAGTAACTATTACCAAACAGGCAAACAGACTTTTAATATGTACTATTCTCACTGAAGAAGGCCAAATTTATCCTTTTTGTCATCCCTCATTAATTTGCTCATCATTATATGCACAGATAATTTCTTTTAACTGCAAATGCATCTTTTCTCTACAGATGATGTCTATGGGATGTGGCATGGTCCCAATGATGTATCCCGCCAGTATGCAGCAGTATATGCAAACAAAGATGGGTATGAACATGATGGGGATGTGCATGGATATGGGCATGAGTCGGCCTCCCATGGTTCCTCCATATTCAGTACCACCACCACCAACACATCTACCCGGTTCATCAATGCTTCCAAATCCAACTACGGCAGCACAAATGAACACCCCAAGATTTCCTATTCCACCACCATCATTTCCATTTCCTGTAAAACCAGATCCTTCTAGACTACCCACATCAGGTTCCATTTTAACCCCACTTGTCTCCCTTAATCCTAACCAGCAACAAATACCAAATTTTGTAGATCCATATCAACAATTTCTTGGTGTTCACCAGGCACAAGTTACGTTGCCGCTGGTAAGTCTCCAACCGTAATATATGTGGTTATTCATGTCACGTTTTGTACAAAAAGCGCATACCGTACCCACCATATAATTGTAAAATATCCCCCCACCCTCTTACTTATGGCTCCGTGTCCATGCCACACTGCCCAGTGGCGGAGCCAGAAAAACGGTTCAGGGGGTCGAAACTCAACCTATATATAGAATGAAAACGGTGGATCGTTTTTAAACAATGTCTGAGTTGAATTTCAGTTTAGATAAATAGGCACTCGTAGAAATAAGATAGATTGTTTTTGCTCTGTTTTTGAGTCGTGTCACATAAGTATTGAGTGAATTATACCTTATTTTTAAAATTTGGAAAAATAATCTATATTTTGGGTCAAATTTTGCTGATTTTACGTTTAGATAGTGCTGATTTTCCAGGAGTCATAACTTTTTACTCGTAATGAGTTACGGGGGCCATAATATATCAAATCGAAGATGTTTCAGAGCTCTATACTCTCAATCTTTCAGCGGGGTCGGCTGACCACCCTGACCCCCCCTTGGCTCCGCCCCTGACCCTACCCCACTATCCCCTCGAGTGCCCTTGTGGAAGAAACAAAAATGTTTTTCAGTTGATTGTATATTTTAACTCATTAAATGCATATGCTCAATACCATTACAATAGCTAAAAATGACTAACAGCGTGTATGACAAGAATTGCAATCACCGAATCATTTTTTCCCACTTCAATAGGCTTTGTCAAGATAAACCAAAATCATGAATAAGTATGTTACAGTCATGATCATTATTATAGATATACGATGTCGTTAACTTTGCATGTTCTATTTATGCGACGTGTAAATATATTAAACTACATTTTAAAAGAGGTTCTCGCATGAAATTGAACTCCAAGTTTTAATAAATGGGTATATTACCTGACACGGTATAGCTTGTGTATTATATTAACCAACACGGTATAGCTTGTGTTGCTCTTCTAAATAAGCAATCATACAATATATTTGATTATTTAACTGATGAATGAATTATGGAAGTAGCTTTGTTAATCCTCATGTTCTTTCTCCTTCCCTATTTCTTTCCCATTTTAACCCCAGAATCAAACAGTGGAACGTCATATTAACAACAAGCCAAGCAGCAGCAAAGATCTTGGGAGTTCAGGGAGTCATCAATCTTGTAAGATTCCTGTTTCAGAGGTTCTTAATTCTCTCCAACTTACAAAGAATTCTTAAGTGATATGCAGAAAATTTTCTTGTGAGAAAGAATTGCGGTTCACACAGTAATACATTATGTTGCTATTGAATGGTCAGGTGCACCTTGACTGAGATTTTTAAAAGCAGCCATTTCATTTGGGAATAAATGGTGATGTTCAAAATGCTTTGAAAATATAAGACTCATAGGAGACATGTGTTGAATGACAAGAATGAAGACTGCACATCAAAGATGGAGGCCTATGTAACACACTGTGGTGAGCACACAGTTGCACACTTGCACACACACATAATGCCATAATGGGGAAGGTCACTACTATGAGAACACCACCTTATTATGGGAACTTTTATCTTCAATCTTTCTTTTTATTTTCAATCAATAGCTGTCACTAGAAAGGTGTTATTTTTGTAACTTCTAAATTAAAACAGTTTATTTTTGCAACTAATCTTAAATAATTACAAAAATGTTTTAGGCATTGATTAACAAAAATCAACAATAAGAGTGTTCTCAATTTAAGGAGTTCTGACTTCCGACAAAACCCCCATATTATGTGTGTAAAGATTTGTGCTTCACAAGTTCATGATAGTGGCTCCGCATTTGCAGGCTGATGATTTTCCAGCACATCATTAACGGGAATGTCAACCAACCAAATTTTGCAGAGTAAGAGAAGTAATAATGTGAACGTAGCCTAAATCTGCTGGCCAGACGGCCAGCATGTAACTTGTTATGAAATTTCCTCTTTTTCATTGTGGCTTTTAATACAATGATTAGTTGAATGTCTATGTATATATTATTACCATGATTTTAGTTGAGTTATCAAAGAAATTATTGCCCTCATGTTTAAAATAGCCATAAAACACTTGGGCATACTGATTTTTGTTTGCTTCTTGTCCTGGTCCCTTCTATTAAGAAAGTGTACTAAAGTTTTTTTTGGAAAGCGTATAAAAATTCTCAGTAATACCTCTTGTTTTTATCTTTCAAAAAGTTATGGAAATGAAATTTGATAATTTTTAAATAAAAAGAAAATAAGTATTAAAAACAAAAATATTTGAAAGAAGTTTAGCTTCTTTTTTCATCTTTCAGACTTTTTTATCTTTCTCTTTTTACTATTTTTTTAATTAAAGGATATTGAAATGCATTAATAGAGACTTAGCAACGTCCACAAATGAGGATTGATTTATAAGTGAAACTGAGAAAATTTAAAGCCATTTGAAACACTTCTCGTATTTCTCAAATCATTTTCTAACAGTCTAACACTAGTATTCTTTTATTGCTGAGTGACTTCAACAAAGAAGCTCCGAAGTATTCTTTGCCACATAAAAGATCTAGTTCTGATGGGAGCTATTGCCGGAACATATCTATTTGAGGTGCTTTCGAGTAAATTTTTTGATGAAATTTTGTGAACATGAAGTGTAGATTATGTGCACAAAATTTCTTTTTCAAACTCAATAGAGAAGCCGGTTAAATAAACTATTGAAAAGAACTGCGTTTTAATATACATTTTGGCATAGTATTTTTCAATAACCTATTTAACTAACCTCCCGATTGAATCTTAAGCTGGAATTTTATGTACATAATCTAGACTTCATTACGAACATGCGCACAAAGTTCCATCAAACTCTTCCCTCTCTAACCAAACACCCTTGATTCGATTTTAACCTCAATCAATTCTCTATCTTTTCTGTTGGTGAATTGAGCTATGAAAAAACCTGAGTATTCACAACACCCTCCCGTAGCCACAGTTCTCTCTGTCTCCAATAGTGTCCTTTTTACCCTCTCAAACTCAAAGGCATTTCTTTCCCTTTCATATCTCCTAAGAATATCAACCTTGCTTTTGCAAACGGTAATATGAGCTAAGAGCATAACCTGCTGTCAACGACTTCAGACTTGTTCTATGACTTGCCCACAATGCAGGATCCGACTTGAAAACTAACTTCTCCCCGTCCAGAACCATGTCAACACCTAACAAACCCACAATTCTCTCTTTGTCTTCAGACGCATCAATCAATTAATACTCCCTCCGTATTCTTCTTTTGCTACACTTTCCTTTTCAGAAAGTTTTTTTTTTGTTTCCTGCCTTTTCCCTTTTTGGTAAAATTTCTCTCTAAAAATACTCAATTACCCTTGCTTTTTTTTTTCAATTTCTTTTTTATATTTTTCCACCTTATCTCCTAGTTTTTCTATACTACATATTGCAGCAAACAATAGATGGAGTAGGAAAAATCTCAAGTCATCAGATGCATCAATCAATTAAATAGTGACTATACAGATTATCCCAGAATTGCTTTCATTGTTAACTCTGTCACTAGATCCATATGGGATATTTAAAAAAGTGTGAATATGTATATATAATAATAACAGTACCTGTGAATACGCACGGGGAGTATCCAGGGAGCTTAAATTTGTTTGTCCGTGAAGCTTGATGAGCAATCCCTTCATTATCTAATAGATTCAACACCTGTGCGCCAATTGCAGTTAATAATAAGAGCCACAAAACTGACAAGGCAGAAAATGTGTAGGTTAAAAGATTTATAGGGTAACTAAGTAAAATAGGAAGAGAAAAACGTGTCCTAGAGCCCATTTGGTAAAAGGTCTTAACAGCTGAACCTGCTAAATTGGACAAATCTGATGGGATTCTCTAGACTAATTTATCTAAATCACTTTTTGAATAAATCATATCAAATAAACTATCTCACATGGAAGGTTAAAGTGCCATTTAAAGTAATTGAAGCCAAAGAAATTAGGGAAGCCCAGTGCACAAAGGGATCCCCACAAGGTGTATCAGGAGCAAGCATTCCCTGTCAAAATTTACAAAAGGGCCGCTCCCGAGTCCCGAGACTAAAACATGTGACCTCTTGGTCACACAGCAACACCTTAACCGGTACGTCATGGCTCCCATTCTAAACTAATTAAATCCAATTAAGCGCGAAAAAATTGACACTACTTTTTAAACCATCAGCCAATTCAACCACAGCACAATGATAAATGCTAGAGCCTCATAAAAATATGGCACATAAGGATGATAGGCTAGAAAAAATGCCTACCAAACAGGGACTAGCGCACCCCTTCCACATTTTAGAAAGTTTGCATTGAAGAATTTTATATCGCTAGGACACTGGGCTAGGTATATATTTTAATTTTATGTGGCACGAGCGTAAAATGTATTTTTGCTTTGTACCGCGAGTTTGAGCTTAGACTTCCAAAGGCCTTGCCCCCCGCATCAGGTGATTACCCTGAATGACCGCACAGCTGGAAAAGCAAGAGTCGATTAATTATCGATCTATAGTATTATTAACAACAGTTCAAGCATTAAGGGTCAAAGATAATTACAGCGTCCATATGCACCAAAAACAAGGTGAAGCTTTCATTGCTTGTTTAACATGCTGCCCATGCAAGTCAATGGTAATCACATTCTCTATGCTCTTATTTCTGCAGCAACAATTATTACATATAACTGTGTTCAATATAACTTGTTTGGATTTGCGGAGGGAAACAAAAAAAGCACCTGGCTTCAAATATATTCTGACTGGCCTTTTCTTCAGCCTCCAAAGCCTTCTTGTTTTGTGTCCTGCCCTGTGATATAGTCAAAATGTACAGTACTTTTATAAGCTAAGCACAAGCATGCAATTCCTGATATAAAGACACCTGATGTGATGGCCACCATTGTACATACCTGAGCAGCAAGATAAGAAGCTCATTGTCGTTCACCATTTGAAAAAGCTGATGCAGCCTGCAAACAAAAATGAGCTTATGAGCTTTGAGTCTACAAGTCTTTAATGATATCTGAATCAAATACATATACACATATAGAGTACCTTTTGATATTATGACTTCATTGATTCCCAGTGACACGTTGAAGCTTCTATGGAATCTGGTAGTCCTCTCCTTTAGTAGCTACAAATTGGAATATTTAGCAACAAAAAGTAGATAAATCAAATACACAATCCCCCCACCCCCCACCCACAAAAAAAGTTTTAAATGCACACTTTTACAAGTGATTGGTGTTAGGGCATTTCTTTTTTTTTTTGAAAGGGAGGCTTTGGTGGGAGTGGTGGAGTGGCTGCGAAATTATTGGTGGATTAGAGAGAATAATATACTCCTTAGTTTCTTTTATCCAACAAATTTTGTCACTCTGTCATTGGACTTTGGGGGTGTTTGGTAACCAATCTTTCAGCCAATTTTTTAATGTTTTGACCAACCTTAGCCATTTGACCGTTCCAATCCACCAATTTAAGGACACGTTTACTTCACGGGTTAGTAAACGGTGCATATTAAGACTCGCGTTAATAAGCGGCGCATAAAATAAGCAGTGTTGTAAGCTCATGTTTACTTCAAATGATTTAAAACACCGTTTAACATTACAATGTCCAAAATAACCCTATAGATATACACACACAAACATTTATGAACACAAATATATAATATAATATGTGGGGTCACCTCGTACGCTTAGTCGCTTACCCACACCCCTAACCCCTACCCTGCCCTGTACCCCCACCCCACACCCTAACCCCCAATTCCACACCCTTAACCCCCATCCATTCCCTACCCCTACCCTTACCATGACCTTACCCTCCACCCCTACTCCCACCCATACCAACCCCACCCTACTCGTAGGGTTGGGTCGAGGTAGGGACAGGTGATATGGGGTAAAGGGGTAGGGGTCGGGGTATGCGTAATGGGAGTGGGTGGGGTCGAGGTGGGATCGAGGCGGGGGAAGGTGGTAGGGGTAAAAAGGCAGGGTCGAGGTAAGGGTTACAAGTGGGGGTAGGGTGGGGGGCCGGCGTAGGGAAGGGGGTGGGGTCCAAGTAGGGGCATGGGGTTAGGGTCGGGGTAGGGAAGGGTGGGGTCGGGTCAAGGTAGGGAAAGGTAGTAGGGGATAAATGGGTAGGGTAAGGAGTGAGGGTGGGGGTGGGGTAGGGCAGGTGGTGGAGGGCAGGGTCGGGGTAGGGGTGGGGGTGGGGTCGAGGTAGGGGCAGAGGGTTAGGGTGGGGTCGGGGTAGGGAAGGGGTGGGGTCGAGGTAAGGAGTGAGGGTGGGGTAGGGCAGATGGTGGAGGGTAGGGTCGGGGTAGGGGTGGGGTGGGGTCGAGGTAGAGGCAGAGGGTTAGGGTGGGGGTCAGGGTAGGGAAGGGGTTGGGTCGAGGTAGGGGTCGGGGTGGGGTCGATGTAAGGTAGGGTAGGGCGGGGGTAGTGGGGTAGCAATAGGGTAAGGGCAAAGGGTTAAGGTAAGGGTAAATTCGGAAACTGAAAAAACTTAAAATGCCGCTTAATTAATACATGGGGGGTGGTATGCTTAGTAAGCGACACTTTAAGCACCTCTTTCGGTTAGTAAGCAGTGTTTTAAGCAACTTGCGTGTTTACTTCACCTGTCTTATTAACCCAACTGTGACTTTAGCAGCGAAGTAAACGCCTCCTAAGTGTTTGGTTACGAGCTGTTTAAAATAGCATTTGCACCCCAAGCGACCAAAATTGAAAACGCTAATGTTTGTAGCGTTTTAGCTTCATCCGTTTAATTTTAATTTTAAAAGTCTAATCTAACCCTATAAATGCTTTAGAGTACCCCCATATTCTTCCTTGTTCACATAAACCGTCTCCATAGTCCCTTTACTATGAAGACGATTTAGATGTGTACTGCTTTTAATTGTTAATTTTTTTTGTTAAAAAATTGATTTATATTGAATGTTTAGTAATTCAAAACATTGTTACATCACTAGTTACAAATTTGAAAAATCTCGTCTTTTCTTAACTCATTTTACTTATCTATATCAATAAAATAAGCAATAGTCCGTACAGAAAATACTTTAAAATTGTATATATTTGTGTTTTAATGTAATGTTTCTCCATGTTTTCAAAAAAATGTAATGTTTCTCCACTCAACACAAATATTTGAAATGAACATTTGTTAAAAAATTCTACGGTGTAAAAATTTGAAATAGTTA